AATTACATAACAAAAGAAAGTGCAGAAAACATTTTATCAGTTGTTGTTAATAATACCATTTGCAATAAGAAGCTGTAATGAGATAAGAAAAATGAATGAAATAAAAAGTGAAAAGTGGATTATATCAATCAGGTGAAACTTAGAATATTAAGCACATTTAGTGGAAGAGTAAAAAGTACAACAAAGCAGCAGTGAGCCAACATGAAASAAATAAGAAATAAAAATTGAAATATAAAGTGGATTATAGTGATCAGATGAACGTAAGGTAAGATGGATTCGCATGAAGAAAATTTAAATTTGAYRTTTTAGTAAGTGTCTAAAGTACCCAGTTTAGAAACTGCCCATTCTAGACCATTCTGGGAGTATTGTAGAGCACTTTTGTACTTTTTTCTGGTCTGAATAAGTCTAGATACTGAGTAGACTATTGGAAGAGGCAAAGGTACACAGACTACAAGACAGAAAGGTTCACAAGAAGATGACGTTAGTAGGATATTTGCTAAGAAAACAACTCTGTCCTGAAAAAAGGTTTAAGTTTCTCATTGTCAAATAATGCATATTATTATACTTCAGGTTTTACATGTACTTGCAAAATGTTATCTTGGCACAGTTTAATTCTATACTAGTCATCAAAAGTTTAAATTTGGGTATTTTAAAGCTTTGATGTAGCATTTTTTTCTGGCAATTATAAGCAAACTTAAACTCTATGAAACAAAATGCTACTAAATCAGTACAAAATAGTTTGAACATCAAATTTTAGGCAGCAGACAGCAACTAGAGAGTTCACAATTCACATTAAAAGTTACTATTTTGTGCAACATATTAATTATTTAACTATTAATAACCTGTTATAGCAGTTGACAAATGAGTCTCTGTTTCTCCATGAACATAACCAAAATACGCCAGGTATGCAAAGGTTCTTGTGTAGTCCAGAAATGTTGTTAGCCTGCAAGTCAAAACAGCTATTTTTGAGGAAAACTGATAACTAAAGCCTCTTGCTAAGGGTTTTAGTGGTTACGCAGCCCAGGCCGGCTGCCTGGAAAAATGCCCAAATGCTCAAATGCCCTTGTGTTTCTGACTTTGATTCTTTTGCATAAAAAGTCTGAGGATCATGTTGTTGTTGTTGCATTTCTTAATTATAAAATAAATCCAGTTACATATTATCACTTTAAATACATCTTTAGACTGAGGTAGCTAAGCCTTGGCATCAAAGTATATACATGTATAGTAGATATCTTGCTTTGATGTAAGGCCTACCTTCCAAGATGGTGCTAGGAACTGTAAAAAGTAAGTAATTCAAAAGGAGTAAGACTCACGTCCATTGAGCAAGAAATCCTTGTAAGGTTACCCATCCTTTCTCATTGGTTTCTGCAGAACTAATGACTTCATCGCCCCATGGCATGGTTGGACACAGTGAAAATAGGTTCTAGTCATTATTGTAGGAAAAAAAACACTCAATACTTCAAACATTTCTACCCAAGTAGATAAGAACTATAAAATCAACAACAAAACTACCCTCAACCCTCAGCACAATCATGTATTTCACCAACAGCAAGCGTTTACAATACAATGATTAGATTAATGTAGTTAATGGTAAGTCTTTTCTTTGCATGTCATGGTTGACAGGTATTGATTAATTATAACCTAAAATAGTGGAGACTCTGTAATAGTTAGGAGTTGTTGGTGTTTGGAATAGACTGTTCATGTCAGTATTTACTATATTATCCATTTCCACCCAAATCCAAATAACTTTGGTATGATGGTAAAATTTGTTTTACATCATTCCATATAACATCATTCTTAGAAACTTGTTGGTCAGTCAGGTTTAATGCAAATCAATAAAGAATCACTGTTTAATAGATTACCTTCAATTCAATTGGATTCAAAGCTTCATCTTGATCCTGAAGAAAGTTTTGCCAAAATCATTGATCAGTAACAATACATTAATACTTTATCACCACAAATATTCATTGTCTTTTTTGGCAGAAACCTCCCTCTCTGACACAAACCCAAGAAAAAAAAAATCCTCTTTGACAGTTATTACCTTTAATCTTTTCAAAGGCATTCATGAAAAATATTTGACAACAACCATACCTTATCATACTTTCGAAAGAGATCAATAAAGAATTCATATCCAGCATCAGAAAGCTCTATGGTGTTGTCAGCACCAACATCAATCCTAGAAAGAAATTAAAGTCAATTCCCCTTTCTATATAATTATAGAGCCATTGTCAACTATTTAGCAATTAGACCTCGAGGTCGAGTGGACTACGAGCTAATAGCCCATGAGGCCAAGTCCGCGAGGCCGAATGGGCTATTAGCTCGTAGTMMACKAGGCYRAGAGGTCTAATTGTTTTAGTATAAACATACTAATCGGTCAGATAATGAAAACAAATTGAAATATCCTTAAAATAATTTATAATTTATAATTTATTTATTTTGATTTTCCTGCTAGTGGTCTATCACAAATTAGACCATTAGTAGAGTAGCCAATCACAGCGCAGTATGAGTGATAGACCATTAGTATGTTTATACTAACATCACTTAAACAGTTGTGCAAAAAGATATATTTCAACACCATAAAAAAAACTACACTGTATGTGAAACTTACTGACATTTCAGACGTTAATCCTTCATCGGAGTAAAGTCTTTTTTTAATATCTAAAGTCTTTTGTTTAATAAATACATGAATTTTGAATTAACTTTATCAGAACGATACCTGTTGACCCTAGTCCTTTAAATATACTTAAGTATGACTTAAGTTGTTGCAGCAATATTTTTTCAACTGAACAATCTTTAATAAATTAGACAATATAGCATCCTACATACCCAGGTGGGCACAAGTAGTCTGTTCTAAGCTGCAAGTCTTCACCATAACCAAACTTTCTTAGCACYGTCCATGTTGTCTCATGCCTTCCTCTTTGTATGAATAACGTATGAAGAAAAAGAAAGCCTACAAAATAACAAAAATTAAATAATTAAAAGTACATTTTCAAAAATAAAACAAATAATCATATATTATTCAAATAGGTCTCCTTGCAAGTCAAGGAGAGGCATCCAATCCAGAAATAGTAATCTGGAAAATCATGGTATTGAATCCTTTTAATGGACTTGGCAACCTCAACAACAACTTCTTTCTATCTATCATCCCAGGCTGTTTAACGTTCTACTCATAGAAATTATTTTGTTTCTACTTCAAAAGCAATGCATGTTTTCACATTATACCACATCACTTTCACTCCCTTCTTAGTCCTAACCCCTCCCCTCCTCAGCTGATTCAACACTACAGTACATCCATACCCCTTAAAGTAAGTCTAATTTGACAGCTGTTTACACATACCTTGGAGAGTTAGTCCACCATCTCGTAGCCCACTACCAACATTTTTTCTAACTACATTTTTAACATCTTGTAAGCCCTGCCCTTGTAGCGGAGAATTAAAACAATGTCTCTAAAACAACAAAAGGCTAAGAATAAGATATACAGTAATTTCAGTTCTGTGTCTTAGAATATTGTGTCATTGTTGCATAAACACACAACATGTTCACAAGTGTTAATTTGAGTTTGATTAATGAGTTCAAACAATGAAAATATTGTCATTCTTGGTTTAAAATACATGACATATTGCTCAACCATTCCTTCAAATTCCTTCAAATATTGAAAACTCTATTATGCGCTCATATGTACCAAGGAATTGAAAAGCACTTTTTGCAGAACCAGATAGCTAATATATGGATTTCATCTTCTCATGCTAAATTACTCATTTACTTCACTCCACTTTTGTGAGAGACATTGAAGATAAAACCTATATCTTTGTCTACCCRTGCAATATCCTCCTATAAAACCATTATTTATTTATATAAATGTATGTACTGGTACCTGAAAATTATTTAACTCTGTATCATTTAGTATTCCATCTCCATCGGCATCTGATATCTATAATCAAATTTAACATTTTACATATTCATGAAAATTACAGACAGTTAATCATCATCATCAACAACATCATTATAAAATGGCATACATCATGCCATTTGTGTTTGTGCTTTTACAGATCTCGCAAGCTAAGCTAAAAGAAAATGATATGGAGGAGAACTAACTGGTAGATACACTGCTTCAGGTAACATGAACAACCAAAATATTGATATTGATTGAAGATAAATTTGTGCACCTTTTAACAGCCTACATGTATCCAAGAACCAGTTAGACTGATTCCATAAGTCAGTACCAGTTTCCTCTCTGTCGATATTTTTTGTGACAAACCCGGAAAATCGAGGAGCGAATACTACGACTTATGGAATCAGTCTAAGAACCAGTTTGCAATATTGGTTATTTGACTGCTTTAAATTAAAATGGTATGTTGTTTGAAGTTGCTTTGTGATTTATTAAAAATCAAGATGCTGTTTTTTKGTATGCAAGAAAATAGCGCAAAGTTTCTGTGTGCACATGGGCTTTTACTTCATTTCACCTCTYAATGCATTCAATATTCTCAAACTTTTCAGCATTAATGTAATATGCAGTACTCACATTAAATATTCTTGTTAGAGCTGCCTCACAAAGCGGCCGTAACTAGAGTAGAAAGAAAACAAAATTATTGATGTAATTCACTTATGGGCTTCCTGTCTAGCCCACACCACAGGAATCCCAAAGAGTGTCAATTTTCACTCACTTGTTTTTCATCAGGTAAATAAAGAGGTGCTGTTGGATGTAGTACAGCTTTTTGAGCATAATAAAACATTTCGGATATATTCTTTAAAGATCTTGCTGAGCACTGAAATAGAGAAACAGATAGTAAGGTTACTAGATAAAGATTATACCATTTAGTCTTCTGACAGCCATTTTTGGACGTTCCCGGGGTCAAATGAAAACACTATAAAATACCTCTATACACGTCTCCACTTCAGTGTAGTCATTCATGATAGGAAGAACCACCTCAAAAGAAATAATAAATTAAATTAGAGAATATCACACAAT